TTTCACCCTTTACTATGTGACATCACGGCACTGGAAAGCGACATTATGATGAATGACAGCATTTTGGTTAAGTTTAAAATAAGAAAATCACAAACTTCTGATTGTACAAGGTCGATACCAAATAGATCATTTGTCAAGAGAACATAGATCAGGTAGACGATAAGATTCATTTCTTCTACCAAAAAAAAAACAACAACACAGTACAGAGACAGGCATTCATTAATCAAATCAATCGAATAACACCGGACTTTGACAAGAAATCATCTCCAGAAAGCATGAAACTGATAAAGAATTCGAAGAACCATAATGTAAACGAGTTAGTTATGGAGTTTATTTCCTCCTGTATGAAAATACATGATTCAATGTGTTGGTTCATTATTGGTGTTGTTTGTTTTATATTTTGATTGTAATAGGTATGCTTTTCCAATACTGTACAATGATGCGGTCATGCAAAACTATTACTATACTACACCTACCACACGTACTACAGATATTACAGATACTACAGATACTACAGGTACTACACATGCTACAGGTACTACACCTACTACAGATACTACTGATACTACACCTACTACAGAAACTACAGCTACTACAGGTACTACATCTACTACAGATACTACAGGTACTACAGGTGCTACACCTACTAAATAGATACTACACGTACTACAGATACTAGACCTACTACAGCTACTACAGCTGCTACAGATACTACAGATACCACAGGTACTACAGCTACTACAGCTACTACAGCTACTACAGCTACTACAGCTACTACAGCTACTACAGCTACTACAGCTACTACAGCTACTACAGCTACTACAGCTACTACAGCTACTACAGCTACTACAGCTACTACAGCTACTACAGCTACTACAGCTACTACAGCTACTACAGCTACTACAGCTACTACAGCTACTACAGCTACTACAGCTACTACAGCTACTACAGCTACTACAGCTACTACAGCTACTACAGCTACTACAGCTACTACAGCTACTACAGCTACTACAGCTACTACAGCTACTACAGCTACTACAGCTACTACAGCTACTACAGCTACTACAGCTACTACAGCTACTACAGCTACTACAGCTACTACAGCTACTACAGCTACTACAGCTACTACAGCTACTACAGCTACTACAGCTACTACAGCTACTACAGCTACTACAGCTACTACAGCTACTACAGCTACTACAGCTACTACAGCTACTACAGCTACTACAGCTACTACAGCTACTACAGCTACTACAGCTACTACAGCTACTACAGCTACTACAGCTACTACAGCTACTACAGCTACTACAGCTACTACAGCTACTACAGCTACTACAGCTACTACAGCTACTACAGCTACTACAGCTACTACAGCTACTACAGCTACTACAGCTACTACAGCTACTACAGCTACTACAGCTACTACAGCTACTACAGCTACTACAGCTACTACAGCTACTACACCTACTACACCTACTACAGGTACTACAGCTACTACAGCTACTACAGCTACTACAGCTACTACAGGTACTACAGCTACTACAGCTACTACAGCTACTACAGCTACTACCGCTACTACAGGTACTACAGCTACTACAGGTACTACAGCTACTACAGCTACCACAGGTACTACAGCTACTACAGCTACTACAGCTACTACAGCTACTACAGGTACTACAGCTATTACAGCTACTACAGCTACAACAGGTACTACAGGTACTACAGCTACTACAGCTACCACAGGTACTACAGCGCACAGTAATGGGCGGTAGCCCGGGACATTTTGGGCAGTCTTACACCAAGTACTACCCTGGCCGTGATATTCATCGGTTGCCTTAAGAGAGGATACCAAGGCCCCTCTTTGTTTTACAAATGGTTTCAAAGGCGACTAGGTAATTCCCCCGATTGAAAAAGTGTTGGTCTTTAAACTCGTCCAAATCCCTTTGCCTAAAGTGATCATTTGAAGCTAAAACTGTCTCTGTTGTGCAGTGAAGCGAGGACAGTGACCCTCTTTTTTATTGGTGGTTCTTTTACTCGTAGTGGGTAGACGAAAAATATATTTTAAGGGGTAAAACATCTGGACAACAGAAGTTGTATTTAGATAAGAAGGACGTGAAAGTGTGCTTTTGGAAACAATGAGGAGCATGAGATTAAAACGGTCCAATTGATTTTCAGATTTTCATATCAAGTTTTTATTACTAAAAAATTATAGCGCAGACAAACAACAGGGTCTTAGGTTTTAGTAACAATCATTGTTTTTGCTATATGATTAGAATTTTGACGGCTGTTCAGGTTTCGAATACTTCGCGCGTATTAGGGGGGAAAAAGACAATTAGAAGAACGGTCTGGCAGGGCGAAAGCAAATACAGTAACCCCATCTTTTAATTTCAGTTATTAATGCCCTATACATGGCTCACACTCTGAAAACACTTTATAGGCTGCCTAGAATACTTTAGAATGCATTCTAAGCGGCGCTATAAAATTTATATCTGTTTTGTCATCGTAGGGCACTTTGAGTCTTTTCGAAATTAAAAGGGCTTCATAATTATTTTCCCGAAAATTTTAAATGAAATTTAACCTATTACGAAAGCTAATGAGAATTTTTCTGTTTCCTCTCTTCATTACGTTTTTGAACTCGAAAATTTTAGGTTTTCTTTTTTTTAAGAAAACAAGCCTAACTTAAGGGATGAAATGTGGAAAATTCTAAAAATTTCTCCTCAAGTAATACAAAATTCTAGGCAATATTTGCTTCTCCGAACAGATGTTGTACAGAAAACAGTCCTTGGGTGCCCCTGATGGCTGTCAATTGTCCCAAGTTTGAAAAACATCTGGACAGTATATCCTTTTCATTATTTTCTTTCTTTTTTTTTTTTTATAAACACCTGATAAAGCTGTTCCCTTTGCGTACCATCCTTCCCAAACATAGCCTGTGAACAGGCTCTCTGTTCGGGGAAAAAAATAGCAAGGACCAAAGGCCTGTTCACAGGCTATCCCAAACAAGACAAAAAGCACGACAGTCAACTCATAGAGCAGATGTGCGGTTTGAGATAATTGTATATATATAATCTGTAAAGAAAAATAAATAAAACTCACTTGGTTGTTATTTAACTTCATGTGATTTATATTCACTAATAATTGAAAATTACCTACTGTATGGTAAGCACTTGCAAGGCTAAATTTGTTACTTCAACGATGTTTTAAACTTGAGGTTAGCAAAAGAAGTTTCGTATCCAGTGGGCAAAAACATGATACTTTTTAAACAGAAAACAATGGTAGTTGAAGTGGCCTACTGTTAATTTGTATACTTTTTAAAATAATTAGTACTTTTTTATCTCGTTGTGTGTAGTGCAATAATTACAAAATAAAGGGAGAAAGTAATCTCTTAAATTTCAGATAAAGCTGATCAGCAGGTAAAGAGAGTTTTCGGTTGAGATACGAGAAATATTACGACTGTACGTGAAATCTCTCTTGGAACTTTGCGTCTAGCCCTTTCAGCACTCATCAGTTTTTTTTTTTTCTGTCTTATTTCCCACAGCGGATCCTGATCCAAGGCTACTTTGCGTGAATTGTGAATTAAAATAGGATTGTTTTTCCTGATGATTACAAATGGTACTTCTTCACTTGTTCAAACCACACGCAAAGTACGCTTATTACTTATTATGAAATGCGTGATGATTGTTATCGGCCCTGGTTATCGGACTCGGTGAGTTCATGGTATGAATTCCATGCACGTTACAAACGGGCCTGACGTAGTACTCTCCGAGCAAAACATAATACTAAAACAAAAAAATCATAAATCATAAATAATGAAGTCTCGTTTGCAGCAATAATCTACAACTCCCTTAGATAAGCGCTTCTGAGACAAACTTAATTTGTTTAACGCCGACTCAAGGACCAAAAGGTTATTGCATATGTCTTCTTTACAGAAGCACTTGAGAAGAAGGAATCATTGTTAAAACCAACAGCTATCAGAACAAAACATCTCAAACATTCGAAAAGGCAGAGTTTAAAGCGGATTAGGATAACTGTATTTAGAAAGTGCTTTCAAGTTGAAACAAGTTTGAGATTAATCGTTTTGAGTTAACTTAACTTAAAATCAACCACAATTCTCTTTTCGACTCTTTTTAACGTTCTTACATCTTCCTGTTTTTTCATCTTTCTTTATTTACGTATTTAGTTGTGATCTTGATTGAGCTATAATTTTTTTGCTTGAAATCGTCTTTAACATTTATAGTCCATGATTTAGTTTATCAAAAATACCGAACTTAGCTAATCAAATATTAAAATCAATTGCTTTTTATCGAAACAAAACATTCATGTATCTTTATCTAGCAGCTTGATATCAACAGAATGATTATAACTACGCAAGTATTTACGTGTTGAATCGTTTAAGATAACTTTAGAAATTGTTTGCAAAATTATTGTACTGATGAGTACATTTTATTATGAAATTTATAAGTAAGGATTATAATTCATTTAAAGGCCTAAAACTTGGGAGAGAACATTCCTAAATTTTGTTCGAAGTAAATGGGTCATTGAATCACACCCTTCCTGTGTTTCTATAAAGACAACAATAATATTTTGCTCAAAGTCGTCAATTATTCACAAACGGAAAACTTGTACATCTTATCAGTTAATCAACCAATAAGAGAGCTTGCTTCGGAGCGTATATACGAGATAAATACAATTTTGTATCTTACAACTGTGATTAGAGCTCATGTTTTTACAAATGAGAGACAGTCACTATGCTAACATTCTCAAAATTACTGCTGAGGAAATGACAGCCACAAGTTCTGAGCAGTATATCATATTGTCTGGCGAGGTGCCCTCTTGTATGACATAGCAGTGTTGACGCTACTGAGAAGGGTTCCCAGTTTCCCTCTGTGAACGATCTATTGGGCTTTCTTGTTTAGCTTGCCAGGCTAAGCCTATGAAGAATTTAAGATCGAAACAAAAATTAAGGAAAGAAGAAAAAAGGCTTAGCCTTATTCCTCCGTGGAATGAAGACGTCAGCAAAAGACCCTAATAGATCATCTGGCTCGATGCCAAAAGTAAGAAAAAATTCACGGCTTTCCGTTTGCTCAGATGATCAGGGATTTGAAACAGATTTAGAGGACGATCTTGAGAAACTTCATATTGAAAAAGAAAGAAAGAAATTCATCAAGACAACAGCGGAGCGTTACTTCGAAGCTTGCGAGAGCCTCAACGCTGTTCCTGTTGCCAAATTTCTACGCCAATGTCAAACAGGTTCAGTAGATCTCAAACACTATGGCATTCAAGATATCGGGGTGCAGGCGATTGCTCTGGCCCTGGAACAAGACATAACAGTTACATCGCTTTGTTTGTGTGATAATGGCATTGGAGACCTGGGTTCTATTGCCTTGTCAAGGATGCTCAAAGACAACTGCTTTGTCACACACTTGGATATCTCTGCGAATAAAATTGGCAAGAAAGGTGCCATCGCGATTGGTTGTATGTTAATCGAGAATGCCTCCTTGCAAGAATTAAACTTGAGTGGTTGCGAGATCCAAGGGAAAGACTTCAAGCATTTCTTAAATGCCTTGTCTTCCAATCCACACTTACGAAGGGTAGACTTTGGTTACAACGACCTTGGAGAAGAAGGCGCGATTTATTTGGGTAGATCTCTGGCGAAAAACCGGAAACTGGAACTTCTTGATATAAGCTGGAATAACATTAGGGCGTCCGGAATCGAAGAGATTGCAAGGGGACTTGAGACAAACGAGAAACTGAAGGAACTTAACCTTTCTTGCAATTGTTTCTCGGATGATGGAGCCAGCCATCTTGGAACAGCGCTTATCCGTAACCATTACCTTAAGGTGCTAGAAATGCAGAGTTGTGGTAAGTAAAAAATCCACCAAGAGGAAACCCTAATAAGTTTGGCCATGTTTGCGTCCAGGGGGTACTCCCATGATTGATTTTGGGTTTCATTCCTTCATTCCCCTACCTTCCCTCCCCCCAGCGATGTTGTGCCCCAAAAAAGGACTCATTTACCATTTCCGCATAGACCATAATGCACCTTGTATACCCCCCAAAATTTTGCATAACTATTGTCTTGGAATTCTCTTGAGACGACTGTAATACCTAGGAGAAATCGGAAAGAATGGCTGTGCAAGATTTGGGGGGCGGGGTAAACAAGGTGCATTGTGGTCAATGTGAAGGTAGTGAATTTCCACCCATTGTGCTCAAAATTCAACATTGTTTGGGGTGGTAGTGGGAGGAGGAGGAGGGGGGGGGGGGGCCACTAGTTTTACTTTTATGTTATCAGCGGAAAGGTCTCCACACTCTTGACCTCCATTCTATTCTAACGCACCTCAAAATGGCATCTTTTATTAGGAATCCACATTGATGGAGCCTTTGAAATCGCTGACGCCCTAAAGAAAAACAATACGCTGGAGGTACTAAGGATAGGAAAGAACTCTTTCCAAAGTTTTGGTGCTTGTTTGCTTCTTCGTGGGCTCAGATACAACCAGACAAGTGCTTTACGAGAACTTATTCTAGACGATGTGGCGTTTGATAGGTAAGGAAAAAAAATTCCTTTAATGGCCAAACTATGCTAAAGAGGTAAGGAATTAAAAGAACAACACACAGACAGAAAAACCGCCGTACAGGTGGTCGAAACGCCAGTCAATGTTTACAACAGTCCTACTCAGAACTCTAACCCCGACGCATCATGCTCCACCTTCTTATGAAATGAGAGTGAACTTAAGGCCTCTTCACATGAGCCCGATTGACCGGGCTGACCCGGTTTCCGAGACCTCGCGTTACCTCTAAATCCTTTGTAAAATTTTCGACGTGTTCATATGAGAGGGTGGGCTGGTTCGCTTCCCGAGATCTCGGTTTTTCCAACCCAGATCTCGGTAAGCGGACTGGAAATCTTGCCATATAAACACTTCAGCCCAGTTACCGGGATGAAAGCAGGATGAATTGTGACGGTCCGGATGGCATCGTCTTAACTTGCATTGCCTGCTGTATTTTACCGTCATAAGAATCCATTTAACTGCAGTGATACAGCTTTCAGAGTTGCCGAAGTTATGATGGGCGCGAAAGCCAAAATTTTTGTGTTTCGCCATGTTTGCTTTGTTTCTCGAATTTGCCGCCAGATCTCGTCCCCAGAATCTTTTACCTTTTCTCATCTCGGAAACCGGGCTGAAATCTCTCACATGAGCCCAAGGGGAAATTCATCGCGGTAACCAGACCGGGCTCATGTCTAAGAGGCCCTTATTATGAGGTTGTTAATTTCTTCTTTAAAAGTAAACTGACTGTACACCTTCAAGTTAATTTTAAATCATTCAAGTGACAACTACTGACATAGACTGCGAGCAGTCTCTCTTTTTCTTCCGGTTTAGTAAGGGGAGTGCACGAGCGCGCGAGTGGCGAAGCCGCGAGACGCGCAAAACGAGGACGGCAGCCCGAGAAGCCATCAGTCTCGCGCGTGGCCATTTGTGTGTCTCGCGTTTTGCTCGACGGACTACAGAAAAAAGAGAGACTGCTCGTAGTCTACTACTGGCATTATTTTCCTGTGGTGGTGGTAAATTATGCTGGGGTTTTGATTCTTCAGATATATACTGTACAAAATGATTTTATGGATGAAATAAACTGTGAACATTCATACTAGACAATGAAAGGCGCTGTGCTTACCAGTCGTAATTTCTGTATGAAAGTATGGAATCCTAACGGGTTATTACTATACCATAAACTGTCCCTTATAAGCACCCCACTCATACGCCGTACCAGTTATAGGCCCATCTACCTTAAAACAAAAAATGTATTCGATTATAAACCCTTCCCGATATAAGCCCCCCTCCGTGTATTGAAATGAAGTCTAGTCGATTTATTATGACATTTGAAGCTTAATGAACAGGCCAGTTAATGTAATGTTTATTTTGATCAGCACTGCTATAGCTTACTTCAGTTCAGTTCAGTTTATGGTTTTGCCATGGTGACAAAAAAAATACAGACAAGAAAATGTAATTAAGAAGCTTATGGCGAGGAAGCCCAAGGAAGCCAGTGGACTTAGAAGGAATGGGCTTCCTCAGTTAAATTATGACAACAACATATTAACAGAATTGTACGTGCAAAAAACAATAGTAGAGCTACAGTAAATCGTAAAATATATTAGAAAATCGTAATCATAGAGAAAAAAATAAATGAGAAGCAGAGGTCAAGGGAAAAAAAAAGAACATTTATGATAAGAGGAATGCTTTCAGCTCACAGCAAAAGGAAGCAGTAAGTACTTGTTGCATTTCAAATTTCAAAACTAGGAGAATTAAAGACCTGGGAGACTTTGAGCGCCTCTTCTATTCCGGTTTTTATGCCCCCTCGGATATAAAACCTTCCTTTTAAAAACCCTTCTAAAACCCTTTAAAAAGTTGTACAAGCGGTAGTTTATGAACAAAAGCTATGGAACAGCTTGTTTTCTTAGGTGTTGTTTATCATCTTGTCGTTTTTATATTCAGGGAATGCGAAAATGAGTTGGAAGCTCTTTTGGAGGAACGACCCAACTTCAACTGTTCCTGGGATGTGAGCATAAAAGGAGGACATGTAGGAAAAGCAGGGATCAAAACTAAGAAGCCCGACGCGGTGGAACTATTCCAAACCTTTGTACGCACTCGAGGCCTTCGTCTCATTGACTTGTTCAGATTCTTGGCAAAAGACGTTAACGCTACACACCTCACAAAAACCCAGTTTATTAATGGTCTGAAAAAACTCAATGTTCCGTTGAAGGATCACCAACTGAGAGCACTGTTCAGTAGTCTGGATGTTAATGGCGACGATGAAGTGCAGTTTCATGAGTTGCTAAGCTCCAGGAGCCACTACTTAAAAACGACGCGGAAATGATTTCTAAAAAAAATTGTGTTTAAAATGACAATCTCCCAAATTTCGAGATTTAGACAGTAGAAACGCCTTAATTAGTGAGATGATCTCTTTGTGTAGTTTGTGTCACTGTGTTAGGCAAAAGGCACGGAATACTACGTCTTCGAAGCCACCAATCATCGGGGAATGTCATTTTATGACGTAATACGTTACTATAACAACAGCAACAACAACAGCATATCCTCGTGAATAAACTTAAGTTTATTGTTTAGTGCTTATAACTAAAAACACATTCGATAACTTTCCTTATTATCGTCAAAATGTCATCGGAATCTTGAGAGAAAACGTTTCACGAAGATCAAGAAAAAAAATCTATTTGTTGGGGAATTGAAAGCCATCTGAAGTCTTGAACGTTTAACAAGACTCTGCAACCCCTTCCACAAATTATTTAAATTCTCAAAAGTTTTAAACCGGCGAAATCTGACAATGTTTGAGTTATAAACACTTCCCAGGTTGTATTGCTACTTTGAAACCTGTTACCCCACAAAAATGACTGTAACTTCTTCCTCAAGGTGTTTATCTCATCACATTTAGAGAGGGGTCATTATTGTAGCACCAATTTGACATGCGTATTACAGCGCGAAATTTGCCGCGCTACTGATTCTTATCAACTTATTCTCTTGGCACAGCCTGTTACTGGTCCTAGGGGACCGTAGTTTGCCTAGTTTAAGTAGTTTTCTCGGATTTCTTCCCCTCTTTTTGCCAGGTTTTTCAAGCGGGAACTGGAAGCAAAAAAATTTTTTTCCCCACCTTTCTCCCCTTCAGTGTGGGAATTCGTCTGCCAGTCTATTTTAAAAGCTCAGCCCGGGCAATTTTTTTTCCCATAACTTTATCATAGCTCGGCTATCAACTTTGCTGTCACAAACAATTGTTACCCATTCCCTCTCTCTTTCTAAACGTTCGTTTGCGCAGAACATCTGTAGAAACACAATACTTAGAAGCTAATGGACAAAACGTTTTATTGTGTAGTCAAGACCAGCATAATTATATTACACTGTATTTACACACTGAAGAGAACTGAAGAAGAGGTGGCTCGTCGTTTTTTCGTCGGGAATGTTTCAGTGACCTGTAGCCCCCGCAAACTGAGGTTCTTCCTTAAAGCTGTAATGCAGCGTTGAATAAGTAGCGAATTCTGAAGTATAATAGTTGACATTGAAGCGCAGTACTGTGTGACAATCTCCGGAGTACTCTTACTTTTTCAAAATTTCTGAACTACAAATTTTAGCAGAAGAAAAGGTCACAGTAAAACAGAAATTGCAAAGTACATCAGTGAAAGAGCCGCTCATTAATCCTCGTCGACGTATTCGAAAGGCTCAGGCGGTTCTGGCTCGTCCTCTTCTTCTTCGGCGCCAATACCCATCGGAGAGGAAGCTTAAGGAAGCAAAAAAGATCATTATTTATTACACTTTTCACAACGTGCGACCGGAGACCCTTCGGCTGAAAGCCGCATTAAAAAACAAGTTAAGTACATAATGTCTCAACCAATTTGCTTTAATAAGAGGATGAATCATTCTGGATGAAAGCTTAAAAAATGTAGAAGCACTGTTCACGTTAAGAAAAATAAATGAACCATACAGTGTATTGGGTATGAATAGAGGCAAGAGTTAAAGGCTATCGTCTATTCTACATTTTTTGTTTCTCACCCATGACAACGAACCCGACCAACCAATAGAGATGATATCGAAATCACGGCGTACGCGAAACGTTTTGGTTTACTCTCTGTAAATCGCCTTTGCAAATTTTATAAAAAAAAGAATTTTATATTTGACTATTTTCGAACATTTTAACACAAATCTCTAGTAATTGCCAACGAGCCATCCGAACGAAGACGTTCGGATGGCGAGGCGGCAGCAGAATAGAGCCGCGCAAGACTCAGCTGTAGGCAGAAAAATTCTCGATCGAGCTTCAAAAAGTGTAACCTCATGTAATGTAGATTCCCCTGAGACCAAGTGGTGTGACAGTTTCAGCCAATCAAAAGGCGGTAAACTATACTTGGCGCACATGTGTTCTTTCCTCGGCGGCACGCGAAGACTGAACTTGAATATGGTACGCTTTTATTGTTTATTCACCTAAATCTAGCCCCGGCAGTCAAGGAAAATGAAAACTTGATGCATTGTATTAACTTGGGGCGCCATTAATGTAAGGTTTTAACGAAGAGAAGCTTGTAAAACAACAGTTTAAGCAAAGAAAATTTTTCCATGTGAAACAAGCAAAAGGATCAGATTACACGAGGAGATAAGGAAAGCTTGATACGAAGAGTATATGGTCCCTTCTGTTGGAAAAATCTGATGTTGGGGAAAAAATCTAACCAGCAAATGGAAAAATAAGAATAAAAAAGAATTACAAGACTAGAGCGAACGACAAAGGAAAAGAAAACAACGCAATTTTTTCGAAACCTGGCCGAGTTTATAATAACGTGAAAACAAAATAACGACGTGCCGTACATCGCATGTCCTTGGAAACATTTCAAGCAGCGCAGCGAATCATTCTAAAATTTAATCGGGAACTCGACAAAAAGCCTCGGGAAATTTCAGAGGAGGTTTAAATGATTAAACTACACAAATATTTATCTTCAAAGCGAAACCGAACCGACACTAACTTTGTAGTGGTAAGAGAAACGATCATTTTTTATATTTCCCCCTAAATATTACCGATCGCTTCCTCTGCAAGCTGTTTTATTCTTTCAAAAAAGTATGCCTCATGACACTTCAAACTTTTATATAGCAGGTTCGTAAAGCCACAGGAGTCTGAGAACTGACTCGTCTCTGAACCTTTATACTTGCATAGCACCTCAGTTTCAAGAAAATAATCCTTTCAACTGGAAGGGACGAAGAAACTGTCAAATGTTGGAAAAAAGGAATCCATTCCTATGAAAAATACACGTGATTTGCTCGTTGGCACTCTATCGATAGGTATACCTAGTATAGCAGCAGAGGTTTACTTTCATTACCCACCGATTACCATCATGAGATCAAGCGAACAGGGCCTTAAAAAATCTGGAGCGCGCTTCAAAAAAAAATGATGTTTCGATGAGCGGATTCACTTGCCAGTAACCCACGTTCGATACATTAAAATTCTAACATGAGTTCGAGCCTTTAGAGGACAAAATTGCAAATTTTTCACGATTCCATTCCATTCCATTCTCGCAATTCCTAGAAGTGACTCGAGCACAAAGAAATCCAAACCAGATATAGAATTATGACCAGAAAGCCTCGAAGTCATGATACAATTTAAAAATATCGAACGTGGGCTATTTTGTGCGGACAAATGGCCGATTCATGAAAAAATATACGCGGTTTCAAAAATATCCGGATTAGTGTGGGTGTGACCTCAGTGTACGTCTTTACTTAAGCCGAATACATCACAAAATACTTATTACTTTTCACTAACTGATTATTGGTTATATTCTTTACCTGGAAGAGGTTCAATTAAGTCTTCTGGTTCATCGGATTTGGAATCCGTCATCATAATAATACCTCCTATCTTAACCTGCAAACAGTTTAATAAAAGATAATCACGTGAAGGGGCAACTGATAAATCTACTCTGACGCCCACACAAATTCGGCGCCATGAAGATCGTTAAATAGTACATCATTGGCCAAAGTGAGAACAACTTTTCAACAATTTTTAGCCGCCCCGTTGGCCTGTAAGTTCAGGTCAACAACATCCTTTGTCTCACTCCATATTTCTCTTGGTAAATGAATCTCTATGAGATTCCGGGAATCTGCCCACCTACCCCCCCCCCTCACTTACTTTGGAGCTGGTGAGACGAAAATACGTGACACGGAGGCGATAAGAAAATATGCCGGTTCATGAAGGAGCCGCTCGTTCAAAATTTCACGACAAGAAGGCTAATCAAAATTAAAATTACAGCTGTAGGAAATTTATAGCGAAAATAACTGAGACAGAATATTGGGTCTGTTTTAGACATCGAACTTCACATGCGCCGAATCGACAGCAAATGAGCGAGAACGATAGATTTGGCTCGTTAGCATTAGAATCAGCACATTGGAAGTTCGACGTTTAAAACAGGTCTCACAAATGAATGGGGTACATACAGGCTTGAGAGGCATGTAACGGCTGTCTTCTGGTAACGAAAGAACTTTAAGCTGCAAAAGAAAGTACTAGTAAGCATTTTAGAAGATATGTTACTATAACAGTTTTGAATACAGAGGACTTTCCAAGCCGAAACTATAGAGTGGTTACTAGTGCTAAACATTACACATCACAAGACAACAGCAGCCGCGGATTTAAGTAAAACCAGCGCCTAATGCAGGAAAAGAGATACAACAGGCAGTAAACGCGCGATAACATACGGAAAGTAACAAACGCAGGGAAACATTTAACAGGTAACAATCACTTTAAATACGGGACTGAGGAATCAGCAAGGCAAACGTGGAAAGAGCCGCGGAAAGCAACAAAGCTAACTTGACTGTGGCGAAAGATGACAGAAATAGAGGATATTATACGGCCGCTTGGGGATACGAATTTTATCTTCTCGTGCTAAAAGTCTCTCTCACTCGTTCGCTTCGCTCACTCGTGAGCGATACTTTCAGCACGAGAAGATAAAATTCGTATCCCCAAGCGGCCATGCAATGTTCTGTTTACTTTATAGACACTGATAAAATTCCTACATAAAACACAACTTTTTTAAATTCATTTTGAAACAGCAAAATGGTGCAATTAAAGTGGTCACCTACCACAAAATGCCTGTCACAAAAATGTTATGAAACTCGGATATATAGTTATAAAGGAGAAATAAAGACAATAACTGGCTTATCATGTTGGTAACCATGGCGACACCAATATCCTCATACGTGAAAGATAAAAAATAGTATCTTCACTGTGCGCGATGAAGATATGATTTTTTAGTAAAAGGAAAAATCCTGGTATTTCATCAGTATCTATGTAATAAAACAAAATTCCCTCTCGCTTTAGGCCGTATTCACACGAACAACGAAAACAAGTTAAACTTGCTCGTGTTGAGGCAGCTTTTGTTTCTCGGCAAATTTTGTAAAATCACAATGCACCTGTGCAGGGAGTACTCGAGCGGGATTCTCCAACAATTCAAAGTCGGGTTCCTCTTCCTCCATTTTTTCGCTGCTTTCTTTTTCGCTCTTTTCAACAGTCGATTCTTCGCCCGTCTTGTCTTTTTCATCTTCTTTTTCCTACGAAACATTAAAAATTGTCTTTCATGTTACATTCAGCAATCATAATATTAGGAAGAAGGGGCCATCGTAAAGGAGACGGCAACGATATCACAAAGCATAATATTTGACGCATTTTTGCAGATGCAGAATTCGAAAACATTTCACGATAATTATAGCACAAGGTAAAAATGACCCGCATTAACTATTTCAAGTTTCATCTAACCATTCAGAGTATCAAAAACACTATCCTGGCAGTATTTTGATATCATTACTAAATAAGGGTATTACCTTCAAAGGTTAGAGTCTGTGATTGCAACCTGCATGGTCGTGTCTCTTATTTAAGGCCTTGCCTTAGACGACACAAAAAACCTCCTCAATGCTTTTTTTTAGTTGAGTCTATACTTTTAAAAAATATCTCATTTAATGAACTCTCCATCACACACGCGATTTCCCATTTGATTCTTTTCCGCTTTCGAGTCAGAGTATGGGCATATTCAAGAGATGCCAGTTTCTATTTACTGCTTGAAAAAAGACAGCAATTAACGTTAAACTTCAACTTTATTTTAACTGACCTTCTTGGTTGCTGCTTTTTCTTTGCTGCCTTCTTGATCCTGTGAAAAACAACAAGCATAAAAATAAGATGGTAAAATATGAATACTTCTCTCCCAAGAGAGTACACGGTTTGTAATGCGTCTTGTGATGCTGTCCTAGTCATCCGTTTTCTATGACTCATCAGCGCTACATCGAAACATTATTGGCTAGCTATTGTGTTGTCTGCTAAATATAGATTGGAGGGGGATAATCGAGAGGGGGCAAAAATAGATACGAATAGATGGTCAGTGATACGATCGGTGTTTTGAAGGTAAAAGTTTCCTCGAACGCTGATTTAAGGCCAGAGGAGTGATAAACTCTTTTCGGGACGACTGTCCTGCTTTTATCACTGAAATGAGTAGTTGTAAATGATGAACGCGATGTTTAACCCTAACCATAGACGAAGTTAACTGATAGTAAGACAGTAGTTTACAAAATGTGCAAGTTTACCTCAACGGACCTTATCTAAGCCTGAAGATAACTCTACCTTCAACAAGCAAGCGATCGAAACCTGCACTAAGAAAATGTGTAAACTGGCCGAATGGATAAATCATTCCTAAATGCTATGCTTCCTAAATGAATTAGGAAGCATAGTAATACAAAAATATAGGCTCAAAGTTACTTCTCATACTTCAGTGAAAGACAGTCCAGCAATAAAACCACAAATAACAAGGCACAGAAAAGAGAAAAACTCACCACCTCCATCTTTTCATCAGATGCCTCGGATTTTTTAGCTCTTGATTTTATTTTGTTGGTAATCGACAACACTGCTGTGGTGACCTATTAGAAAGATGGCCAGGAACTGTTTTACGTTGTACAACACACTGCATGTCTTGGCCCGAAAAATTGTAGAGTCGCAGCCCCGTCCCCAGGCTATTTCGTGCTATCCGAGTGAGCAGAAGAAGCTTGGAACCGAGCGCGACCGAAATCGCCTCGGACGACTGGGAACGAGGCCTGTACAGTCTGTAGTGTGTGAGAGAGACAAGGAGAAATCTTACGCTTTAGTCTTAGAAGGAGAATTCTCTCCCGATGAAGATGCTGGGGATCCATCCTGATGCAAATGCATCCTTTAGCCCTACACTGAGTCCCAAGAGTGATAAACATCAATTTTCTTATTGTAATATCAATACATAATGAAGATAAAAGGTTATGAGAGTTATTAAAATGATAACCAAGGGATAATGGCTATCGCACGATTGTTTCGTTCGCGGGCGTCAAATCAGTCACTCGCTAAATTACTCGGAGGAAAAAACAGAAGACGAAAAATCTGTGGACAGGCTATCTATTGATTAATTTAGTATTTATCAATGTTCTCATTTACTTACTTATAAATTTATTTTTCTCTACTTTACCTAACAGAAACCCTCATACCTTTTCTTTCTCCTCTTTCTTGGGGGGTTTGAGTGGTTCGGGATAAGCGTACAGAGATGGTTTGGCATTTGACCGGAACTGCATTTTGGGCATCTGAAAGAAGGTAACAAAAAATTACTGTAAGACGTCAGCGTTGTGCATCACCTTGTAACCAATGGGAGTAAGATAAGTAAAAAATCGACGATGAGCAAGGGAAAAAAGTGCGACCATTCAAATCGGAAATGTTGGCAGTACACGGAGGTGGAAAGTGTTTTTGTCGATGGCTGAAATCCAACTGTAGACTGCATAGCAGGCGAATGGAAAATATGAGACGAAAAGAACAGCACACGCGCGAGGGAAGAGAACACGCGTGTTCCCCTCTCTCACGCGCATAGCTTATCTCGTGCCCCGTTTCACAACTACACAGATGAAAGCATTTTAGCAGTGCTCCCTGCAGGACTGTATTCATTGCTTTACGGAAAATACAATGTAGGATTGACGTGACTGCACTTTGATCTTTGTTTGAGCTACCTTATGAACAATAAAATGTTTGTAACCCCCTCACGAGGGAATCAAACACTTAATTTGGGACCCGCCATAGAGCCTTAATATCAGTACATTAACTTCTAATCGTCTCGTAATACTCCCCAACAAAAAGTCGTCTTAACTGCTACCTACCTTTAAGTCTGAATTAAGCCCGATAATGCAGGCAGGTGTAAACGCTAATGATATGAAGTGAGACAGTGGAAACCAAAACCAAACGTGGGTGAACACAAATAGGCCCACCACTGTAGCCATGTGCGTGTGGCCCGCGCGTGACTGCAACGAAATTGTCACGTTCCGTCCACCTATCACGACAAAATGAAACGACGAAGTCAGTTAGGTAAGGAGATGAATAACACTCACGCACAAAACGAAAGAAAAAAAATCGAAAAATAATCTGGATCACATCAGAAGTGTGGGTAAAATTGGTAACAGCATACGCATCAGTCGAGTACTCGTGACGGAACGGTAGCGAGGGGTATGCAATTTGTTTCGAGGATACAATATTGACTACTTCGGAAGACCAGTAGGATGCAAACTAAATGCACAGTTACATGTATATCACTAAAATAATTGTTAGAGGTTTTTCGTCAATAAAAAAGGGCCGACAAGGGGGAAGGGAAACAACAGCTTAAGGCAAAGAACATCTCTTTCATGCGGATCTTCATTTCGGGAAATACCCCAGTCCCTGTAAGGTAAACGCCTTAGTAAGACAGACACCCCTCTGTGGCAGACACTCCTATAATGAGGAACATCTATATAATGCGCACATCCGCAGTGGGAAAATATTCCCGCAAGCAGCTAAAACGCTCATTGAAAATTGATTTGTATGCTTAGAAACAATAGCCTGCGAATTTAGCCGCCTCTCCTTTCTCCTCTCCGCTAGAGAGACGGCTGTATTTACAGACTTAGGATCGATTGTACTGATAACCATACTTTGCCCTCTGTTTTGATCCTGCAAGAACTTACCAGCATCCAGAATGCCTTGAGCCAGTGTTGCACCAAACTTGGCGATAACATCTTCATGTTTGTCTGAGATCACTTTGGCGAAAATCTCACGGAACTTGGCTACCTTGGGACACGAGAGCTCCGTTTGTTGAATGAGAACCAAAGAACTGGCGATTAAAGCACCCTAAAAGAAAAATGAAAGGAAAAGTGAATGGGAAGAAGATAAAGAAAAAAATCCCTTTTAATGTGAAAGTCAGAATTTCTATTCTGAGGGAGTCGAGCATGTGCCAAGTTTTGTTTTACCTGTCGAACGTAGTTTACAGGATCATTGGTCATAGGCTCCAGAAGACCGATCGCTTCCTAAAAATAAACAAAATCAATATTTCTTACATAAACTGTTGACTGGGTCATTCTCGTCACATAAATGTGTGGGTTCTTATAAAAATCAACTGAAGAAGGGGTGGGGGAGGGACAAATCTTTTTATCCGACAAGTCGAAATTTTGACATTTTTGACAATGTCTCGTTTTCGCACGACGTAACAGCGGCCATACTAGTGTACCAAACAATGAAACGGCGGCCATGTTGGTGAACCAAATAAATCATGTGGGGATCGACCTCTTTTTTCTCTTTTTTAAAGAAATTTGCATAGCCACAAATAATGTGAGTGGATACCACCTATATCTTGTAATATAAAAATAGAAATAGAGAATTTAACTGTTCTCCTACGTTGTTACTGGTACTCAGGTACAGTAAGAATGTAAAACATTACAGCAAGAAAACAACATCCTCACATCCTCATTAATGAAGAACAATATTCTCAAAAGGAGGGAGCTAAGCAGCCACGACGGCGACGCAAAGGATTAAAACGTCACTAAAAAGTACATTTGCCTACTATTTTAAAAACTAACGAACCCTACCAACAACGAACAATAAGAAAGTCATCACATGGATTTATCACAGCGAGAAAATTTTATTGCAAAGAATTGTTTTCTGTGGAATTTTCAAGGTCTTGTCATGTCTTACCTTGAGTCCAGTGCCTGCGCAGGCAATACCTAGAGCCATGGCAGCTCCGTATCGCACGTGAGGGTTATAACTCTCTGATAACAGCGACACGACACTTGGGCATTGCTCTGGAGTTCTAAAACAAGAAAAAAAGATATTTAAGTGTTTTACAACATAGGCTTCTATAGGCTGTGTTTGGACTAAGTTAAGCACTTAAAAATGGCCACTTCCTTAACCCTTTCACTCCTAAGGGTGGCCAAAGTCATAATCCCAACGTCATTTCGCAAAATGCTGAAAAACAAGTAGTACCCTCTGAAAGTACTGCTGAAAAGGTTTCATTTAAATGGTCAAACCATAGGATTTCATCCACAGACTCAAAATTTAGAACTACATACTAAATAAATAGTACCATGTGAAAGTACTGCTGAAGAGGTTTCATTTAAATGGTCACACTACAGGATTTCATCCACAGACTCAAAAGTTAGAACTACAAACAAAATAAATAGTACCATGTGAAAGTACTGCTGAAGAAGTTTCATTTAAATGGTCACACCGCAGGGTTTCATCCACGGACTCAAAAGTTTGAACCACCCTACTCCATCATTCACTCTGGCAGGGATAGGGCTTAAGTTCTACTGGGGTTTTAAACGGACAGGACATACCCATCAAACAAAGAAGAAGAATTTGAGAACGGACCTGTTGGCCTGTTTACCTTCATACAAGCATAATTGACATACCTAAATAGAAGGAAGCCCAGTGACGTTACTGCTGCTCTTCTTACGTCATCACTGACATCACTCACCTAAAATTTGGATTAAAGAAACAAACAGTTATCCAACTTCCGAACAGTGATGGTAACAAAAGAAACAGATTCCTCGCTCTCGTGACACGCAAATAAGGGGCGGGCGTAACTTCAGGTGTTCTTTACACGTTACTACCCAAAATAAACACCATTACTGCAACGTACCATACAAGCGCGTGTTTTTATAGAAAATTAGTTTTCATACCAATCTCATCCCTTACAGTTGTATTCCTTGATGTGAAGTCTTATTTGTTATTGTACTGTCCATAATAAGTACAATCTATTAAAAGGTCACTTATTTCAGATCTTGGAGTCTCAACAATAGGAATGACACCAGTTTAAAAACTGCACGAAAATATTGTGGCCGAATTTCATGAGAAGTCTTATTACAAGACACTATTGTTAAGCAGCATGAAAAAGATTGCATGACAGTAGTTTGACGGTATGGTGTGATAAGCTAGTGTACGTTACTATCATAACTTACAGCTACATGTAGTAATCTCTTGATAGCCTTGTTGTTACCAGTCCCACAGTAGGCCATAGCCACGGTATACATGCCACTTTGACGCAGATTAGGATCTTTATCCTGCATCAGACTTTCAATCAGTGCATCGGCTTCTTCCATGCGAGCATACATCACCTAGAGAATAAAGACATGAAAAATTAAATAAAATAAATAAAAATTAATTGATGATTTGGAGGTAGCTCATCCACAAAGTGGTTCTTCGTCTACCTGATTCCTGGTCGAATTGGACTTTGGAAATGCTGGCTTTTGAGGACAGGGGAAAACCGGAGTACTCGGAGAAAAACTTCTCGGAGCAAAGGAGAGAACCAACAACAAACTCAACCCACATATGGCGTTGACGCCAGGATTTGAAATCGGGCCACATTAGTGGGAGGCGAGCGCTCTCACCACTGCGCCATCCCTTGCGCCCCAAACAGCCATCCCTTGCTCTCCAATTCAATCCCTCCACCATCAATCAATCAATCCTACACCTGCTATTAAAATACATTGGGCCGAGGCAGCTAGTAAAGATTAGCAGAGCCTGCGTAGCTTAGCAAGCCAGTAAATGAGCTCCATACTCCAGGAGGCTTCGCTACTTGCTTGCGTTCTGCTACTCTAAAAACCGCCAGCTATGCAAGCTACGATTAACACTACCAAAGGCTGGGGCATACGTCTTGTTGGAAAGCCTTACAAGTTCGGAAGAATTCCTACGCCGACAAAATCTAAAATGAGAAATACACATTAATTCGCCATATAACCAAAGGAGTGACTTATTCTTTATTTCGTACCTGGAGTTATCCCGATTGAACAAAACATTACCAAATGCTTACTATAAAGAGGATTTCACATGGCGATGTATGATAATGATTTTGAAACAAGGAAAAATGAAACTAATTTTCTTTTGAGTCAAAGTAGAAAGAAGGACGACCGCTCGCGGTCTATACACTGTGTGTAGGTCCCTAACAGTCTTTGAATAAGCCTGTAGTTAATATACACTGTGCGTCTAAAATGTACATAAAACATCGCGTGCAACTTACCAATGCAATTCCTAATGAGAGACCACGTAGGATTTTCTCGTGTTGTGTTTCTTGTGCATACTGAATGTATAAACAGAAAGGTGCAAAAAGAATCATTTACACCTGAATTGTCATTTAAACTGATATACTGCTATAACTGCATGTACTGCAGTAAGATAAAATTAACTGATTAAAATGTTCTTCGTGTTGAAAACTTGTACTTTTTCTGCATCGTTTAATGGATCATCTCTAACACAATGTAATTCAGACAATTCATTTATCACAACAAAAAAAAAACCGATAGTGAAAATGTAGGGTGATACCCTATGGTGCGACTAATATTCATACGAATCCTTTTCAGTAGTACTGTGTTACTGGGGTGAAAACGTAACAAAACTTACCCCGACCATCTCCTCTATAGCAGTAGCAGACTTTGATCCTAACATAACCAAACCCATGGCAAGACCACAAGCTTCACCTGCAAAAGATGAGAGGGAAGGGAGGGTAAAAATGATGAACAACACGGAAAAAGTTTCACAAGCAAGAATCAAAGAAGCTAAACAGATGGCATGGATGACTAATCATTTTTGGCTTTTGAATAGAAGCTTAACTCTAGGCATGTATAGTTATTTTATCTTAGCTTGTAGTTCTTTCCCTTAAGACAAATAGTAGAGAGAAAAACTTTTGCATTAGAAAAACGACAACAACAACAACTCCTATATGTACGCTGGAACTTGTCACTGTTACAGACAAAACATTGATAAGCCAGAATTTAAACAGCCCTTCCTTACATGTAATTTATGTCCAACAATTGCTCAATGAAACAGGGAGATAATACATTTCACCAAGATATTTTATGCACATGACGTCACCTAAATGAACTTGCTTCAATGAGCTAAGTGTGGTTTTGAGGAATACTTATTAAAGTCGTTGACACAAACCTGTGACAGCATCATCTTCCCAAAGTTGTGTCTTCAGCTGCTCATAGACATCTAAAACCCAAAGAAAAAACATTACAGCAATAAATAAAAGAGAGATGAGCATTAGAAGCTTCACAAATGTAGCAGGCGTTCAGAAGGGGATTTAAGGCACGAGAGAAGCTTTTTTTTACTGAAAACAATTTAGACTAATATAGAATAAAATTAATGTTTGTTAGTTCTGAAGATTTCCTGAATGTATTGGCATCGGAGTACAATTATTATGCATGTAGATGTTAGCAGAGTTTATTCCCTGAGAAATATTGTTGGCTAATGAGTGTCCTATATAGGTCCCTTCCATCATCACTACTGCCATGTGTCTTCTCAGGAGGTTCTAAGATATTATCTTACAGCTGAACTGTTGACTGAAAGAGCAACTATAATTCATCGCCCAAATTATTTCTTAACTGAAATAAGACATTGTGAATTATCTTTTTTGGATCCTTTGGTTAGCTGGATCTAGTGATGTAGTGATTTTCAAGACAAGTTACTACGGTGGAAGCCCTCTTAACGGACGCTCTCTTAAATAGACAACTCCACTTACGGCAGCCCATCTTTACAAAAACCCCTTTTAACTCAAAAACAAACTCTGTATTTTTACATGTCCATAAGTGAACATTCCCGTAAATGGCCGCAGACACTTTCAGGGTTTATGAGATAGATTTTGGATTTGTTTTTAAGATCCCATTAGTGGACAACAAAAATGAAATCTCATTCTCTTCTGAATATTGTATTTTAATGGCGTTTATTAAATCAACTCTAATCTGTTGTTTGGACACAATAAATTTTATAGAAGTTTCAGTGTTTGTTTTTTTTTTTTGTTTTCTTCACATACACATTTGAATTTTGCCTGTGACTAAATTACAATGTCGGCAGAACTGAACAGTATAGCCAAACACTAACAAACAGTTTTTTTTGCATTTCCAAATTATGTTTATTTGTAGCTGGGCCTGTGAACTCAAGTGGCCATCTAAGCCTTACACCTCTAGTGGCCACAATACGAGAACAATTCTAGTAAGTGTCCAGGTCCAGTAAAGACACCTCTTCCCCATCCCAAGGATGTCCACATATGAGAGCTTCTACTGAAGTAAATTTGCTCTCAAAATTCCTACCTTGTCTTGCAGAGCCCATTGCTGCTAATCCAAGACCTAAACATCCTCCATGACGGACCATCTAAAAAATGATAATGAAATAATACAAATTTCAATATCATTCAAGAGCATTGTGTTTAGCTGTGCAATGGAAACAAACAGCAACAAGAGGATTCTGTGGAATTTGATCAACAAAAACTACAAAAATTGATACAACACAACTTAATTTGCACTGCAATTATATTTTTAGTTACATCACATTGTTTTTATTCAAGATAACATTTCTTTTTTTTTTTTCAAATTTCAAGGCAACAACAAAAAAAATATAAGTATTGATGACAGAAACGTCTCTAGAGAGCCCTTAATACACCACGGGATTTCAAGTAAGTCTCTAAAATTTGCAATATGCAATCAGTGGCATGGGGATTTCCATCAAAAAAAGAGGATCTAACCTTTACATTAAAGGGAACGTTATGAATGAATCAGAGATCATACTACTTAAAATCATACTACTTAGTGCTACTCAGTATAACTTATAAAGTTATACTGAGGGTGGGCTTTCTTTGTCAGTATGTTCAAAATAATGACAATTTTTATTTCTTGTATTGACTTTTATGAAAAGACAGGGAAACTGATGTTTTCATAGAGGTTACATGTATGTTTACTATTTCCGTACTTATAGTAGGTTACTTGGAATATTCAAGCTGAGGTAAAACTTACATCTGAAGTTGCATTTTTCAGCTGTTGTAAAAGGTACTCAATTATTTTTCCTCCATGGTTAGCATGAATTAAACCTGCAACAAGCAAAGAGAACGAAACAAACATCACACAGAACTTGTTAAAATGTGTGATGCATGAATATAATGATTGTCTTGTTATTTTATACCCCCAAAACTAAAGATTCCCTGACAGTATAATACAAAAAGTCCACTTCCCTGACCACAAAAGTCATCATTAACGGGCACCGGATATCTGACACAACTTTAGTTTCTTTACAGACTGACTGAGAAAAATACTCAAATTTACTGCCTTAACAGCATTTCTTACAAATTTTTCAGTGCACAGCAATGGGATGGAGTGAGGGATGTCCTTGTCTGAAGTTAACTATGATGCTTGAAGTTCAATCCATATAGTTGACAAGAGTTTTACCTAGAGCAAAAAGCCCTCCTCCTTCCTGATAAGCGCTACCACTACTGCCATCTTTAGGCAGATAGGTGGACATTAGCTTCAAAGCATCTTGTTCATGACCCTTTGAAAAGACAAATCACAGAGAGCATTAGTAAGGGTATAAATCAAAAAGCTATTTGACTGTGTCAGCTATACTGAGCACACTGTACCCAGTGGGGAAGGGCACAAATATGACTCATAGGTCCCATGCAAGGTACCCTCCCTTCCCCTCCAATTCCTACAACCCATGACAGATAGAACCTATGGGTAGTAACTGCCAGAGATTGTTCCCTCCTTAGTGATTCTCTTAGGTCCAACAATAGAGTCAGATCAGAAAGATGCGGTGAGATGGCCAGGCCCAAGCATTTTCTGTCCAAGACTTGAATGTCTAACCATTTTGTATTTGAAACAACTTGGGCAGCACACCCTCTGCAGTTGTTTGAAGAAAAAGTGTGTTGGTCCAGCCAGGAATCCAATATAACATCTGGTAACCAACCCATAGGCCATTATTTTCTGAGTACCCCAAGCTTCTGTGTCATAGTGAGGCTATTAAGTGCGAGGCCATTAATATAAAAATGATCTTTTATTCTCAAATAAAATAAAACTCATTTTCACAAGAAAGGTTTTGGACTTAGCCTGGTCTCGAAAGTGAGAGTTTTTGGAACTCAGAAATGGCCTATTGAACTAAGAAATCAGCAATAAGATTGCAATGACCTGATATAAACCAATGTATTCTTGGCCCCATAACTCAACCCTTTTTTCACACCCTACACAAGTTACACCAACCTTGTGAATGACACCTAGGCTTGCTGTAGCTGTGAATTTTGCCCAGTTGGTTGCTCTTCCAAGCCACTCTAAGTTATTTCTGTTGATCAAAAAGAACAACAACCAACATTTTACATGTTCATATGGTAAATACATGTAATGGAAATACAAAAAAAATAAATTAGAATAATTAGAATACAATAAAAATATTTCTCTCCCTTCATTCATTAAATATTCATTCATGACTAGAGAATTAATTTTCAATCAGAAAAGCTGCTCTAAAGGAGGCCTTTTTACCTTCAAATTAAGAAAATTTATTTCCCTGCCTCTTAGTTATTTCATAATTTACTAATCATGATTTAATGGACTGTGTTGGAACAATAAACTGATCTATCACAACAGAGAAAATTACATGTAATTTACCCACAGCAATTCCAGAACACATAAAAGAGGTGAAGCTCAAAACCCTGTTCACATTAAAAACTTTACATCTACTTTACTGTAAATGTAGCCCAGGAGATATTTTTTTTAAAAAACAGCAAGAAGCATACCGAAGGAAAGTGTCACTTGTTGTTCCACAGTGCATGTAGGAGTTAGATATGACAGTCGCCGAGTGGCAAACAGAACTTCTTGACACATCCTGCACAGAGACAAAAACAATCAACTTAGTTAAATAAAAAGGCTGAGGGAAGGTCTTCCTTGTTAATCAAATTCTCAGTACCATAGGAAATATAAAGAAAGCAGTCTGGGAAGTATACATGTACACGCAGATATTACAGTATATTGGGCTCTAGCAGAGCCTGGTGACCCCTAGCCCCTGACTTTTGCTTCTGGGCAACTACAAAATCTTAGATTTTTCATAGAAATCCAATGCTGGGAACCCTGCATTTTACAGGTTCAGAGCCCTGGGCCCCCTTCAATGTTTTGTACAGCACAGCCTTGAAGGGTTATTTAGTCACATGCACACTAACGGTATCTTTATTGTGCCTTACTCTTCTAAAGAAGGTATCCGTCTTTTTACAATAAAGGTCATTTAAAATACAAATAACAATAACAGCTAACTAATAATTCATGTATAAAGTAATCAAGGGTTTTCCATCACGATATAATTATACTTTCAGTAATTCTTTTATCTTTTTGAACATAAGATTATTGTAAATAAATATTTGTCTAGACATGTATTATTTTACAGGTATTGTTATAATTATTGCCTGTTGTTAATACACAATGAAGATGTTTTATTTTTATCTTTTCATGGGTATTATGATTTATAAAAGAAACGTCCTATACTCAAATACATGTACTAGTAAATAAGTACATGTTGCAATAAAAGAGTGCTGCCTTTAAATTCACCCTCCTATGATGTTCACATTAATTAAGGTGACTCGACCCAGTTTTTTTAGGGGGTACCGAAGTCAGCCAAGCGCGGTCATTGCACGACCCATCTGTTATAAGGATGCCCAAAATACAGAGATGAATCTCATAGTTTATTAGATATAATCCGTGTAAAGTTTGCTAATCATTTTCGCATAAATTATGACCTAAATTTGGAAACCGCTGAATTTCTCGAATTGGGTCTTTGCGATTTTGGTTTGTAGATTGATCTATATGTTATCCATTCTATGTGTTAGACTTACGATAAAAGTAAAGGTGGGGATACCAGAGAGCTTCAAAGTAGGATGGTACCCCCCCAAAAAAACTGGGTCGAGTCACCTTAACAACATCAAAGACTATACAGGTTAGACAAGTACATGCATGTAACACAATTCTTAAATCTACCTTGGTGTTTTTTAGTATAAGAAGATCAGCATGGTTATTTCTGATGAGAAACTCAAGGTGAAGGGCAATTGTAGTCTCACCACCTAGGATGGCCATGAGCTTATTCACTTTATCTACAAGCTTCTTATCGCTTTCACTCTGAAATAATTAAAATTTAGTTACAATGAGAATAAATTGATTAAAATACACAAGAACAGAAAACACAGGTAGTGTTCATGATGTTGTTGATGGTGAGAATGATACCAATAAAGAAGAATGATGATGACGATGATGATTATCATCATCTGGCAGACCATTGCTGCTGTTAATGCTACTGTTGCTGCTGCTGCTTCTGAAGATGACGACCAGCATGTCAATGCTAATGACCATGATAACAATGGTGGTGATGGTGTACACAGTTGTTGCTGTCTGCTGCTGCTGCTTTTATTGCAGATAATGATGATGATGATGATGATGATGATTACAGTGAAAGATGATCATGATAATGAAGATTGTTGGTTATTATTATCATAATTTCACATGGAAAATTTACAGAACAGATTAACCATCCCAACATCAAAGCTACACACACCTGTGAAAGCCCTTTCTAACAGTACCATTACAGCTGTACCCCAACACTGATTCTTTAACTAGTAATTACCAACAGCCGTAACAAAAAAATTCTAGTTTCTTAGGTAACAGTATGATTTTACAGTTAATGTACTAAAATCTCATGATGGCCTCACCAGGACAGGTTCTGTCTTGGGTTTCTTTGCTGGAACTTCTTTTTCTCCTTCATCGGTCTCCATTGCTGCATCCCTAGTTAACACAAATTATATATGATAAAAATGAAGGACAAAGAGGATCCTTTGGAGTGGAGGTGGGCAACAGGTCACGTCACACAATCATGTTTTCTGACAAAGCCATAATATGATAATTACATGTACATTAAGCATCAATTATAAAATAAAATAATAATTATTGTAAAAATGACCATCAATCCCAATTGTATGTGTTTTATACAAATCCCAACTGAAAATCAATGTTTGCTTAAACAAAAACATCCAAATGATAAGTGACTTGAACTCTGAATCTTCTTTGTCCTTCTCATAGGGTGCAAAATGTCTTGGTAACAGGTTACATTATAAATAATTTTGACAAAAAATTGTTTCTTAATTACACTGTAACCCCTTCCTTGTCACTAACCCTGACTTATCTGCAGCTCCATTCTTGTCTGCTTTAGCCTCTGCAGAGCCATCAGAGCTTGCTGTCTCATTGCCAGACACAAAAGGCACTGTTGCTTTTAATACAGAAATTACTGATGAGAGAAACTGCTGAGTTGCTCCTTCATATAGATCAAAAGCAATCTGATAGGCCATTAATGTCTGGTCCTTCTGTGAATGTAAAAGTTAAAAATAAATAGGTACAGGGCTGTAAGCATATCCAATAATTTTTTAATTTAGGTTGATTCTCATATTTTTGTCTCCTAGATAATAACACTTCATTACACTTGCCTCGTTGTCTTTTATCAGTTTTTCAAGAATATCAGCCACACCTTGAGCATCATCAAGAAAAATGAAGCACTAAAAACAACAAAACTAATAATCATAAATAATACGTCTGATAAAGTCCATTCAATACAGTATGAACATGTACAAAGAATACTCAATCAATAAAGAAGTTTGTATATACTCACATGGCAAACACTAATCAAGTCTGGTGTTGCCAAGTTCAGGTATAGTTGTACTAAGACTCTAAGAACCTGTGAGATTCAAAAATGCACATGTATGTACCATTAATATAAAGTACAGTGTACTGATAACTATACAGTCACTAAATCTCATTTGATTCATATTATTATATTATACAATATTAAAATCTAAGTATTAATTTTTACCATTGTTGCAAAGTACAACACATATTCGGTAATCTAAGGCAGCAAAGTGTCTAATTCTCGACTTGTAGTGGTAATTTCAATTTATCATTGCATTATGTGCAACTGCAAAAAAAGCATCCTTGATCATTCTAGAAAAACTTGGAAATAGTACTTCTTAGTGAAGACAGAGACAGAATTGGGCTGTACAAGCAAGGTGAGATGAAGGTAGGCATGACAAGACTTGTTTATCTGGTAACAGATTGAAAATCATTCTGTTTCAAAACATCACCAGTTGTACTGAGTGTTTTGATTAATATCATTCTTGATGCAGCCAGTTTAGCAGGCTTTTACAATTACCCGCTAATCTGTGCTTCATCAATAGTATCCAAATATAAAATTAATTTTATTTATTTCACCTGGTCAACTGCCAAAAATATTTTTTTCCAAAGCTAGTGACTCTTCATCAAGCTGATCATAATCAATCCACTTTCATGTTATGTACACTGTATATGTGAATTATCAGTTGACCATGCAGTAACAACTGTCTAAGGCACTGTACCTTTGTTTATCTACTGCAGTCACAATCAAAAAATTAAATCATCTGATATCTACATGTAACATGAACATTCAATGTCCACATCACACTATAAACAGTTACCCTTTTTTTCAAGCACTTCTATATGTATTTGGCCTCCTACCATTCAAGGCCCAATCCCAGATTTTATCCCATTTTATAAATGTAAAATTTGTCTGTGGTTAGGAGCACAAAAGACCACAAAAGTAGAAAGGAAACCAAGCCTATTAATCAGAAGTGTAAATGTTGTAGTTAATTTTATATCTCAGGTAATTTTTCTTTTTCTTTTGTTTCAACTTTATTAGCATACATTACCATAGCCAAAAACAAAAGAAAAAGAAAAATTTATACCTGAGGCAAAAAATTAACTACAACATACAGTAGATTAAAACATTTTACCTTATTTCTAAACTGCCTACTCTGGAGAAGTGACATGCACACATTAAGACTATAGGACAACATTCCAGGCACATCATCCTAGCAAAACAATATTATTGTTCATTAATCACCATTATTATCTACACACATGAAAAAGTACTGTCTAATATAATAATCATTCTATAATGTATATTATATAAAAGTGGCCTTGTAATTTTGCATTAGGATTGGGAGATTTTCGCCCAGAAGACTTGTTACAGATCAGATCAAAATTATATTCAGGTTCACTTGTTTTAACCTTGGATGACTCTCAGTTTCTCTGTCTGCGAGCCCTAATCCATGACTAATTAGGGCTAGGAGACAGAGGAAATAGAGAATCACCCTAGGTTGAAACATTTTAACCTGATCTGAATTTTGACCTGTGACATGGACATAAAATAATTACATATATTGTTGCGGGTCAAAATTGAATTCTAGTTTGACTTCTGAATTTCCTTCGTCTCCTAGCCCTCATTCATGAATAATAGGGACCTGCAATCCTAATTTACAGGTTGCTATTATCATTTATGTATGCACAGCATGTATGTAACCCATATTTGTTTCACAGGACTACCACTAAGAATGAATGGAATGAACAAAATGCCATCTGATCACGCATGTTTTGATTTTCTATCAAGTGAAACTTATTTACAAAGCACAGAGTTGGAGCAAGAGGGTTTGCACTGGTCTTCCATGCACTCCCTTACACTGTGCCTTTGGTAAAAATATACATGTAAACTGCACGTGTACCTACCGATTTTAAAATTGCTTGTTCAAATACATCTAATCTTCTGGTTTCCAATGCGATTCCAACAGCCTAGAATAAAATAACATGTTTTAAAAATTTTAGCATCTCCTGCTATATGTACACTTATTTTCAGAGGAACTGCAGTCAATGCTCTATAAGATGTACCCTGTGGGACCATGCAGAGAATAAAACTGATAAGAAATTTCTCATTAAGTGTTGTAAGATATTGGACATGAGAGAAGAAGTTAATTGTATCTCCAAGCAGCTGGGGTGTCACTTACACTGCAGGGCCAAGGACCAGGAATCCCCCCCCCCCCCCCCCCCCCCCCCCCCCCACAAACAAAAAAACTTTACACTCTTTTCCTGTTTTTTTTTTTATAAAAAAAATAAAAAAGAAAAAAAACAAAAAAACCAATAAGTGATTTTTTTTTTTTTTATAAAAAAGATTTTTTATATGGTTTAACACCAGGGTATTTTTTTTTTTTTTTTTTTTTGTGTGTGATTATTTTTTTGGAGAGAAAAAAACTGAAAAAAAATTTCTTATGAAGGGTTGTAAAAAAATGGACATGAGAGAAAAAGTTAATTGTTTCTCCAAGCAGCGGGGGTGTCCCCTAACCCGGAGGGCCCAGGCACCGGAAACCCCCCCCCCCCCCCCCCCACCTCCCCCACAGAAATTATATTAAAGCTTGATCCTTAGATTCAGTGTACTTTCATAGGAAACAAATAGACTAGATGAAATACCAAACCATTTGAGTTGAATATTTTTTTATATGAAAGACATGATTTATTATGTAGGCATAGCCACAGTGATTATTTTTTCATGTTCGAAGATGACATGACTGTTATTTTCACAAGTGAAAATATTACATGTATGTTTTCCTGTGACACTCACCTGGTATTTCATTGGTGGTTACAGCGATTACGAAAAATTAATGGTTCTATTCAATCAAAATAAAATCAATGACCTGTTTGTATTTGCCATCATCAAAGCATCTCTTAAACATCCTATCCACAATGGCTTCAAGCCGAGGATCAATGGTGATATTCCCATCTGGTTTCTCTACTTTAAGGACTCTTTGTTCAGTGTAAGAATCAATGCACTTGGCTGTGAAAATACAAAAATGATACAATATCAAAAAAATGAGCAAAATAATTATTTTGAGGTTAATTCTTTCAAGCAGAGAAACTGAGCCAAAAACAAAACAGTTTTCACGTTCCTTTCACTTTGTTACACGTATAACAAAGAATAAGATTATTATCGTAAACTAGTCTGATTCTACTTGAAAATCTCGTGCATTAATTTTTTATAAAGTTTTAGCTTGTAGTTACCTATAATAGTTTCAACATATTCTGAGTGTCCATTCACATCAAAAAGGTCTCCTGCTCCAAGTGCATACGTTAATGAATCTTCATAAGCTCCAAGATGGTAATAAACCTTTGAAGAAAACAAATCGGCATCACTCATTACTCTAATGTATAGGATTATTGTAGCTACAGTGTATGCATGTATAAGGACAGGTTTGATTACTCAGCATACACCCATGAAAAGTGCAGCTTGCCATTACAAAAATAATACAAACACATGACAAAGCTGCAAATAAAGTCGGTCATCAGACATTTGCCAACTACAATTTGCTAATGTCTGACGAAATCCCACCTGTGTTCAGACATCATGTCCGGATAATTTTTTTACCGTAAATCATTTTATGGTAAGGAAGAATAAAAACCTACCTCAAGTGAGTAAATCTTACTTTGTGTTGAGACAATCTCAAAGTTATGAAACAACATTGACTTGGGTAATGAAGTTTTCTTTTACATTTATTTAGCATACAATGACCTCTCTTTTACCTGATATAAAAATAACCTTTTTTCAGTAATGTCAGACCAAAATTTTGTTTTTCGACCAAGATGGTGTCTTAGTAGGAAATATTTCCTTTCAAGAGAAAAAAATTGTTTGCAGCTCTGCATGAACATTGGAATACTTTCAATAATACATATTTGTATACTATCACAAACCTTTGATGCCAACAGAGCTGAAAGCTGTCTTTGCTTGAAGGCTTCATCTTCATAGAGCACTTCACTGAACATCAAGAAAAATAAAAAAATATATAAATATAATGGGATGCAACTTTTTCACTTGCTGTCACATCCAGCATGTTGGTGGCCCAAAACAATTAAAAAGCGGCCATGTTGGTGTCCGAAACCAGTCCAGTTTTTTCATACAAAAAAAAGGCTAAGATGGGGTTACTTCAGCAATGAGATTTGTGTGATAATAAGCACTCAAATTTATACCCAATAACCTTTATGTCAGCGTGATAAACAATTTCAAGTTCCCCATTTCTTATTAAAACCCTTTTCTGCAAAATCACTCTTAATGTAACTTACATTTTGCCCACTGATTCTGAGATTTCAGCCCAGAAGACATCAACTATGTGATGAAGACTTTTAAGTGCAAAGACCTGTTTAAAAAAAATTAATGTAACCATCAAATTTCATATAACTACACAATGAATGTATATGTGTGGTATGACTGTGTGTAAGTAACACTGATCCTTTTGACAAAGAACGACAGAGTACAGTCATGTAGTACATTTTGTAGTTATGCATTGATCAGTCAATTCCAACTGAGGGCTGACCCCGGGCATAAGCATTTTTTTGGCCTTGGATGGCAAATTCCCGGGGGTGGGGACTCTTGAGCTTTCAAATCCCCCGGGGTGGGGACAAAAAAAGAGGGCAAATGCCCCGCCCTTTGTCACCACTGCAACATTTTTCAGTGATTGCACAGTCGAATAGTGCCATTTTAAACATGGCGTGGCTGGACGCAGCTGGAATTGACTGATTGACTGATGCATTACATGAACATGAAAGAAACTTGTAAATCATTGCAGTACAATGACAACAAACCTTCAAATCCTGTTCACCTTCATCAAGCAAAGCTAGCAGACCAGCTGTTCAAGTGTAAATATAGGATAAAAAATAATATTACTTAGTACACATGACAGGACTTTAATTTAAATGGAAAGCTTATCATGCTGTCATGTGAGATTCTATTGAATACAAAAAGTTATAAATTTCTCAGTATGATACATTCTACAAGGGAAAGGAAGGATGATGGAGGGAATATCCAGTATTTATTTTGTCACTGACAATGGTTTTTAAAAAGACAAGGGAGGGATGGAAGTAAACAGTAATTACTTTTTCATCTACATGTAGCAACAAAGTTTGTAGCTTTTGAGTATTGATTTCCAACATACAATTAATAATTTTTGTTCTTATTGAGATGCTTGATTATCAAGTCACCCACAACCAACAAGATTACAGTAAAGATTTCTAATCAGAGCTATGTTGTCTGTAATTTTATCATGGTTATCAACACCTGAACATCCTATTACACATTTATTACAGTTTTGTCTCCTCATGGCTAAAGAATGAGATATACATATGTATTGCCCATTTACTGTATTGTGCTTGTTTCCTCTCTGTGCTTGACAGAACAAGACATATTACACATACTGTATTTACTTGATCAAACGCCAGGGCATTTATTAAATTTTCAGCATTTCCTATGCAGTGTTTATTCAAGGATGGAGTTTATTCGAGGACGGCATTTTTCAAAATCATCTTTTTTTAAACCACTGAAACAGTTACAGTAAATCGTTTATAAATATTATGTAATTTAAAGGTTCTTATGTCTGCCTTATTTTGCTGAGATTAGAATCGTAAACGTCTAGATGGTGTAAATTACCACGTTGTACCAAGCTTTTTCTCATTATCCTCAAATAAAAGCCACATTATTTCGATGAGGTGCAGTGTTCCATCAAAGGCGGCATTTATTGGTAATTTTGCTTCCGCCTGCGGTGTTTAATTGAGGGTGGCATTTATTTGAGGGCTAGGGATAAATCGAATAAATATTATACTGTTTCATTCAAGTTTACTTTTCAGTGTCGATCACACCTCATAAAATTTAGGGAAACATAACATAACTGTAAACATTTTGGGTGACATGATTTGGAAGCTTAATGACTTTAGGTGACTTGACTGGTTGATTATCAGTCGTTTCAACACAAAGTCATTTTGATACAAGTCACATACATGTACAAGTTGATTCAGTCGAGATGTAAACAGGTTCATGTGCTTAGCTTAAAAGAATGAGGAACATTGATCCAAAATAGTTTTCTTGTTCACTTCCAAACCATACTTAAAGTGATCAATATTGTGCAGTTTCACTGCTTGAGTTCAGGGTTGTCAAAAGTAGCCGGCTGCCGACGAAAATCGCCGCCTGCTTGGTTAGTATTGGCCAGCTACTCTGCTTGGCATTTCTTTCCGGACGATGTTTTTTAAATAAAATATCCCTGGACTGGCCGCTTACTTTAACAACTCAGCCGTCTACTTCAAAACTTTCTGACAACCCCGTGAGTTAGTATCAAAATAACTTGTATTGAAACAACTAATTACTTGAACCAAAGTGACCGATTTCTGATTGGTTACCTTGGTAACCTGTCAGTTAACCTTTGGCCCACAGTTGACCAATGGTCAGCAGGCAGATTTGTCATAGAGCTGTTCTTCACAGGTAGTACCACTAATAACATGACTTTTCCACTGACAGTAAGCACATTACTTATGCTTAGTAGTAAAAACTAATCAAATTTGGTTCATGCCAAGTAGATACACAAAATTAATTGCCACATTTTTTCAAGCAAGAAACATAATCATTTTTTTTTGTTTGATACATTTAAGTCTGTGTTAAAGTCCTACAAATCCATATCATGTCAATTTCTTTCGCATCACGCTGGCTTGACGGAACTTCGACAAAAGGCGTCGATCTTCAAGCAGAAGTGAACAGCAGCTATCCCTCAATGCGGCATTCACAACAAAAAATAAGGACCTGAAATTTCACTAAGTTTAACGAAACCTATCAAAGCCGAGAGTGAAGTTATTTCAAAGTTTTTTGGTCAATTTCGCTTAGTCATAAAAAACTTCATAGCCACGCCGGCAGATTAGTTAAAGTTTAGGGGCAACGGGAAACTGAAATATAACCAAATATTTCCAAAACAAATGCAAGATACAAACCTGCTGAAGTCAGACTCATAGTTTTGGTCTAAGTTATTCCAGAATCTTTCTAATCGTTCAATAAATGTCACTTTTCTTTCACATGGGCACGAAAAGTCTTTCTTTCTTCACAGACAGCTTGCTTGGTAACCAAGCCATAAGGGCTTTACTATGGCTAGGTTGCTTGGCTCTACTTCCCAGGCTGCTCTACGAGAGTTAGGGTAAATAAACATGGCGGACAGCTGACACCCGGAATGTTTTAAATATTCTAATAGCAACTCAGATCACTGCCGTGATATTTCTTAAACATCTGTCCCCAGAAAAACCACCGTGATGAGAGTTTACGGTACTTATTTCGCATCAAAAGTGTTAGGAGTTCATTGCAGTGAGAGTACTCCATGATGACAGACAAAGTGTTCACTACCCAAAACTTTGAAGGAGAAAGACGATCTATTCCTTTGCCTATTCAGACATACTTCTGGCGGCAAACAAGGTATTATTTCTCAAAGCAGTTTAGTTTTAACGCAGGCGATCTTCCCTGTGAATACAAAAGCTGCACTTTTCAAAAAGTACCTGCTTTATTACCTTCTTAAAGGTAACCCAATTTTCGCAGCTAAGCATTTTCGGCACGATTCAAGAAAAATGTCTTGACCACCGCCTGCAAGATTAAGTAAATAATTTAATAATTCACATGAAACTGTACTTCAAATGTTCTTTTGCTAATTGATCTTTTGCGTGTAGCTTAATATTCTTTTCACAATATTCACTGAAACGTTTTGACATAATAGTCATTTTGAGAGCAGCGTAACTACAATTTACAGATGTCAATCAAGAATCCTTCACCAGTCGTGACTGTTTTACAACCAAACCACTTGAAGTGTTCCTTTCTAGTCCTTTAAACTTTAAGCTAAACTAATCAATTAGCCACCAAGCTGTTAACAGTCAAGCCACTAAAACTATCTCTCATTCCCTCAAAACTTTTAATAATTTAAATCTAAAATATTTATCTTTCTGGTTCTTTGAATACTCAGCATCAATGAGCTACTTAGACACTTCTCTGAAACTTCTTATGCCCCTGTGCTGTTGTTCCAAGTTAAAGGCCTCATGTTCCTACCTGGTACATCTTTAATGTAGTCATACCTTATATTAAAAAACCTTTAAACTGAAACCTTTGACGCCTGCCCGCTTCTTGTGAGGTAGAAAAAAGAAACATTGTTATTGCTCACTCAATACCAGGCATGCCCCAAAGAAAGTTATGACTTGTAATCCACTAATAATACACGACAGCAATTCATTAACTTTGAAAACAATGTTACACCTGTATCTAATTATTGAATTTATGGCAGTTGAACTTCTGTTTACTCTGGTTTCTGATACTTTGCAATGGTACAAAGGCCAGTTGCCTTCAAATCATATTCAGTCACATAATCAATGAGAAATCTCATCATCATGTGAAATTTATAATCTGGACAAAATAAATTGCGCTTTTGAAACATCATGCAGAGTGAATGAAATTTCTATACAATAACATTGCAGATTTCAGTGTCTCTGCTTGATGTTTCCAGTCCTAAATAACCTTAAATTAGTATTTAAGTTTGTGATTTTTTGGACAAATAATGCATTTTGTATCAATCATTAGATTTCTTGTAAAGTACTGCAATCAGGGGCCAATTTAATAAGAGTTTTTCAAGTATAGTTATCAATATATTGAGGCTTATGTTTTCACACTCCAAAACGATAACTTCTTTTATCCCAGATTAGATTTGAGATCAAATATTATTGCATAATATCAGAAGTGTTAACAGCAGTGTTTTTAATGCTTGTTTTAGTCAACTTCTGAAGCCAAAGCTTGTCAGGAGAAATTATGAGTCAGCCTGTGTGGTAAGTATGATGGGCAAGTTACACTTAAGTCGACAGACAAATTTATTGGAGATCAGTGATTTTAATCAAAATAACCAGTGGTAAGAAAAAATGTAGCCTTCTGATGAACCAGTATCTCATCTAGAAGGGAGAAGAAATTATCCTAGTTCCTTCATAAATACAGAAATCCAAACACTTTCTCCGTAATTATACGTACTTGCATAATTATCTTTTGGTTACAAAGATAAGATATGGATCAGAAGATCCCTTTTTTATTCTGATCTTGCTAAATTGATTCCGTCCCTCATCACTCAAAGCTGATTTCAGGACAGAAATGTCTCACAATCCACTTGAAAACTATAATTATTATTAACATTATATACATTACTCTGCTATGAATCTACTAGAACATTTTATTATAATAATCTTTTAATATTCCATTTTAATTGTTTCATTTTCTTATTCTCCAAATAATCTCATGTATTTTATTTTACCTATGTGCATCAAAACCAAGAATCCCCTTTTAGGGCAACACAGGGAAGAAAGGGGGTGGGGTTGGGAGGGGAGAGGGTGCAGAAGCCAGTTTAAGGTGCACCAAAGGGGGAAATTTCATATATCCCATGATGCATCGCTTCATACTATATTATCAAGCTTCCGAACGCACGTGATCCTATCAGTTCTCATGAGTTCAACAGGGACACGACAGTTGAACAACGATGGAAAGCGACTTGTTTTGCCGAGAAAACCTTCTGTACCTTTGCTGTGTCGATCCATTTACGATTTTCGTTCTACTATTCCAAATATATCTCTTGTTAAGTCAAAGAGAATGTTTGGCCACCGATCAGTAGTTAACTACTGTAACTAGCCTTACGATCGCAAGGCAGTCCACGCAAATGTTCTTAGAAGCTATCGAGGAAGGTCTTTGCTTCAGTACGTCCTGTATTAACGTGCTTTGATAAAGCTCTCCATGGATTTACAAGCTATTTTCACGTACTTGTCTTGAAATAAATACATATTCTAGGTGTGAGATTTCTCTTCGT